TACAGTGCAGCGGTTGTGGCTTTGCCGGCATTAGCAAGGGCTAACAGAATGTACTAGACCCGTAAGACGCAAGTCTAAATATAGAGCAGCGCCCTGCGGGGGCCTGCGCCTATATACAAGAAAGTTGAAAGTATTGGGATCCCAGCCTGCGAACCGCGTGGGCAACCAGTAATTTACTAATTTATGTTTCACGGAGGGATAACATACATGTCCAGCATCGTCTCCTCCCTCTAGTCAAGCACGCTGGTGCCAAAAAAAAAAAAAAAAAAAAAAAAAAAAAAAAAAAAAAAAAACAGCCCAGCATTGTGGATTCGTTGAGGACACACCGACATGACAAAAACTGAAGGGGTGGCAGCTTCAGCAGTGCAGAGCTGCAAACAGCTGCGGCACTGCCAGCGTCACCTTGAACCGTCAGGTCCAACCGCCGTTATGTGGCATACATCATAAAATTATCTTTCCTACGTCTTGGTTCTGAAGACTACGGGCAGGACCCGCTGGGCTATGTCTGGGCTATGTCTGGGCTATGTCTGGGCTATGTCTGGGCTATGTATGGGCTATGTATGGGCATTGCCGCAGCGCTCGCCGAATGTGAAAAAGACAAAACCTATGGCCGGTGCATCTTTCTATGTTTTTGCGGAAGATACATATATGCTCCACTTTGCACATTCCGGGAGCCGTGCGCCGAGGCCCTACGTCTGAGTCTTGCTGGAAAAGCTGACGGTTATCATCAGACAAAGAGGACATTAAATGGCCCGCATTAGACTCCAAAACCTAGACGTAGACATAAGCTGACGAGCTCAAATGAAATGGCCTGCCCCTGAACATTTGTCAAAAGGAGTCAAGTGTCAAGACTCAAGAGACCTTGAGCAAACCCTGAAATTCTCAGGACGTCAACAAACAATGCCCCTCCCCAAATGTACCTGGCCTCTCTGCTCGTCCGTCTTGTCACAGATCATCCACTCTGACAGGGGCTTTCTGGTCTTAAACAAATTCTCAGGGCATACTCACACGGGGACCTAATGACCTCAAATGAGTCAAATCCCAAAATTTGAGGCATTTTTCGGGTCACATTGAGAGGTCCGCTACGCAAACCTGAATGCCTCAAATGATGACCCTTCTGTCAGCGGCCTGCAGGGCCGCGGGAGGACCCTTTTTGAGACCGCCTCCGGAGGTGGTCTCAAACGACCTTTCAAAACAGCCGGCCAAATAAAAGACAAAAAAGATGGCAATGTATCTATATCTATGTTCTAGCGGGGGATTCAGTCTCATTTTGCACTTTTTTTTTTGGAGAGAAGTGCAGCCAGGCCCATGTACGTTGTAAAAAAAAATAAAAAAATCCATCTACTTCCTTACGCTACTTTGGTGTGTTAAAAAAAAAAAAAAAAAAAAGATCCATCTACTCTGGGCCTCGCTGCACTACTCTAGACTCTCGAATTTTCGAGAGTGGGACGTCGCTGCACTTGCTCTCGATCGGAAAACTCTCGAAMCCCGATCGAGAGCTGTCAGCGGGCACTCTATATCGCCACTCTCGAAACGTCGAGAGTAGCCCGCCTGCAAAACAGGAATTCACACGTGTCCTCGGGAGTTGCCCGCCGACAGGCTCATTTTTCGAGAGTGGACCTCCTGTCCCGGCGGCCAGACTTTGTCCCCTAGCGCAGTGGTGCAGCTCTTCTGTCGAGTGGGACGGCGCGCAGGGTTTGGACAGTTCATCTAGTGTGACAGTTTATAGAGTAAGTGCAGCGAAGGCGGCTATTTCGAGAGTCTCGCCTCTCTGACAATGCTAGACGAACTCTCGAACATTCGAAATATTTCGAGGGTCCAGAGTAGTGCAGCGAGGCCCTCTTTTGGTCCTCAACTGTGTGACTACGCACACTTGCCCTGAGGGCGAAGTGTCAGGGCCGCGACTTCGTCCTTTCTTTCTGGACGAAGTCCACCCATGTGAGCACATGAGGACCTAAGGTTCCAAATAGGCTACCCAAATGCCTCCAAATTTTGACACTTTTGGTCCTCGTGTGAGTATGCCCTCAGTGTACCAGAAGACTTTGCTGCATTTCTTACTTTGCAAGTCAGGAAAAAAGGGCACCTATGACGACGCTGGGCGCTTCCTTTCAAGTTTCCATCTTTTGTTTTCAAAATGATTGGTTAACGCAGGGATTCGTAGAACAAATCAGAAGACGAACTCAACAAAGGGAGGAGGGCCCCCACAGGACGGCAGTCGTAGACTTCAAGCCAGCTGCCCACCGCCATCCGAGATGATGAAACAGAGGGGGGGACCCCACCGCCGCCGCGAAATGTTGCTTTCGCGTTGGCAGCGGTTACCCAAAGAGGAAATTCCGGGCCGGTTTTCCTGTTTGGGAAAGGTCAGGGCCTGGAAGGCCATTCCAGGTCCTTTGCCGGTGGTCGTAGTGCAAGGGCGACAACACCTCTTGTCCGGCCTTCGGCCCTCTGGACCAAACAAAGGACCGCTACATGTCCGCTTTGCAGGCTGCCGACTTCCGTCCGCATGCACCGGAGTACGCACCCGGGAGGTAGGTAAATGGACCGAGTACTGGAAAATGGGAATTTAGGGCCATGCAGGAATAAAGGGGCCTAGGACTGAGTGAAGACGGTCGGTCGCCCGTCCTCTTCCGTGACGGGAATCTTGGTCTGTGGGGTCCGAGAAGTTGCCTCGCGACTTCCAAAACCTTTCGCCGCCGCCATGTGGTGTCCCTCCCTAAGCTCTAAAGACTGGCTCATATAGAGATGTTTCAGGTGGTAGTTTAGTACGATGACATGAACAGTTGGGAAATCACTCTTCTGATTCTTCTTCCTTTTTTCTTTTCTTTTTCTTTTTTGGACTTGGCTCCATATCCATTCTGGGGAGCATCGGTCCAGTTCCTATGCCACCGGCAAGTCAGAAATGATACGGTTGGAACCTCTTCTTTTTCAGGTATATGTTATCAAGGGTACTACAACTTTTTTCTTTCGTGTGTGTGTGTGTGGGGGGGGGGGGGGGGAGAATCTGTGCACGCTAAACTCCCGCATTTGCTCGTGCACCTGCTTCTTTATTGGTGGACTGGAGGTGGATTTCCACCAGACAGGGGACGAAACAAGTGCACGCCGAAGGAGTCTCCCAACCTAACAACCATAGATACACTGAACTTGGAACGACGCAGAGAAGATAAGCATGACCCCCGTGCAAGGGGGATGACGCTTGTACGTCGAGAAATGGTCCAAATTTGTGTGTTTGTGTGTGTGGGTGCCTGTGCATCAGTGTCTTTTAATTGAAAAGAAAAGAACAAAAGTAAGCTACGCAGAACAAACGGAAGATAGGGGTTGTTTTAATGGCCCTCCTACGGTGCTCCACGAAGATGGAGCACCCGGTAGTTTACAGGGGCTCAAGCCCTATGACATGTGATCCCCTGACTACTGGTGATGATGGCAGGACATTGGCCAAGGATAACAGAGGCATCACACATAGAGAGAGAGCCACCAAACAGATAGACTATGGGGACTTGTTTTGCAGGGGAGTCGTTCCAGTTCATTCCGATTTGTGCAGAGGCCTTGAGCCCTCTGGTTCATGGAGATAGACTGAACTCCAATGATACTTGGTCATCGGACTGCTGCTGAGGACAAACCATCAAGCATACGGTATTACCAAACAGATAGGTCGTTCAGATAACCTTTTTTTTTTTTTTTTTTTTTTTTTCCATCAGATAGCTCACCTTTTTTCTTCTTTTTTTTTGAGTTACAACCGCCTTTTTTTTTTTTTTTTTTTTTTTTTCGTTCAGATAACTTAGCACACAAAATGTGAGGTTTTACTCTCGTGGACGACATAATGTGCTACAACAATGACATGGTACCGGCTTGCACAATGCACGCCAGCATCGCCCTTCTGCCTCATCCATCATGTGCTACAGCGAGATATGGTTCGTTTGGAGGGCATCAGGCTCGCGCGTCTAATGAGCTGGACGTAGTGCAGTTCACAGGCAGGGACGACAATGTGAGCTATGCACAATCGTATCACCACCTCCTATGTCCACGCACCATACCATTGGCCAACGACTCCATGGTCATTGTTGTTCATCATGGAGAGCAAAACAGGTCTAGATAGGTTATGCGTCAGTAAAGCACCCAAAAAAGATGTGGGAAATAGAATCCTCCCTCATAGGAAGACACCAATAGAAACTTCATAAGAAGCCCCATTTGCTTAATAAATGGCACCGACTCAAAGAGGAGCGAGGCGGTTAGACCACCAGTACCCCAGGGGGTCTTAGGCCCCCTCTGGGGAGGCTCCGATGCAAATGCATATGGACCCGCGCAGCGCACCGATTCAGCCACCGCATTAACGGCCTAAAAAAGGTGAAGGTACTGGTGGTTTAAGGTAGCGCTAGAAGAACAGCAATTGTAGGCATCAAAGTCTGCAGAGTGGGCATCGACGATCAGGACCCTTAGTAAGGACAGTGGAGGCTTCACTCAAGTGCACAGGAGAAGCTTCAGAGGAAGGAGCAAAGCCCCAAATTTTGTTTTCGTCTGAGCTTGCAGTGTCTTCGCGGGAGGGGCGGGGTGTGACACCCCACCCCCCACCCCCCCTTCTTTCGCAGACCCCCTATGTTCGGGTGTGCGCCGCACAGCCAGCACAGCGTGTGCGTGCAAAGTACGTCCAACGCACTGCAAGAATGGTAGGTGTGCGCCGCACAGCATGTGCGTGCAAAGTACGTCCAA